TTCGCTAGAGTTGGATTCAGGTGTCCTTTACTCTAAAGCTTATGTTAATAAGTTTTTAGGCTATTAATCTCTTTAAACATATTTATATATAGAGAGAGAGAGGTTATAGAATTGGTTTTTAAAATTTATGAAATATTAATAGTTTATACTTCATAATTTTAAATTATTATTCTTTCAACAAAGGAACGAACATGCATTACTTTCAAAAGTATAATAATAATATCTAAACAAGTTTAATTGCACGTTTTAAAATATGTGATCAGGATATCAAAGGTTAAGGGAATAACAATCTGAAACTTTTATTTGAATTGTAGTTTTATTTAAACATTGAGTATTTCTGAATTTATCACAAAAACAACTTTGTTTATTCATCAATAAGGTTAGAAACATATTTCTTAGGGATGATGTGTTCATTACCTTGAATATGACATAGTTAAAGGTAAGTACATGAAACATGGAAGTAAAAACACATCATGGCAATATTTTTCTATAAAGTAGTTAAACAATCAATTTTCATAGTGTTCCATCTTTTTTCTTTTTTAAATAAAATAAAACGAAATCACCGATGCAAAAAATAATAATGTCTATAACTTGAAAGAGAATTATGTAAATGTATTGTTTAATGTATATGTTAACTAAGATTATACATTAACTATTCCAATAAATTACTTAATACACTGGTGGTAATTGTTTAATTACACTTATTTATTTTCATGAAACCTCCAAAGCACTGTAATTATAAAAGAAGAGAAAGATTAATTTTGACTTTCAATAGTGGATGGACACCAATAAGATTCCATGATCCATCAATTAGCTTAAACTAAAGATTTGTGGGTAAAAAAAAAGACTTTTATAATGCCAAATTACCAAAAATATAGGCCTTGTTGTTGAATCCACACATTGGAAGATAATACACTTTACAAGGATGAAAACAAACATTCATCCAGTAACACATTTTCAATATTTGAATCACAAAAAAATGGAAGACTTTTTCCATCTATTGCACGTGGAAATGTCCTTTCAGAATCAAACTGTTTCCTCTCTAATCCAAATTATTATATAAGTTTTGAGGGCTTTAAAACAATGACAAATTACCCTCATAGAATTTTATGAGGGAAATGGTACTTTTCCTCACTCTTAAGGAGGTGATATAAGAGTGTTTAAAATCAACACGAAGGTGTAGCTAGTGTAGGAGTTTTTAATGATAGTGATTCCTTCTTTCTTGTGAGTCATCCAAGTAGAAAGCCTCACATGAAAAGCTCTTAAAGTCTCAATTTAGAAATAAATTACAATATTAAATTGGTTCTCCCACATTTGTGATACCATCTTATAGCATGACATGTCTCTGTCTCAACTTCTTATTATCCTAAGCATGACATCAATTCAATTTGAATGCACTTCAATTTAAGTATGACAAAAAATCAAATAATAATAATAATACTAATTAGAAAATTAATATTTGATTCTTTGTTTAAAAATATATATACAAATAATATTCTATGGTAATTCTATGAGTTGAGTGCACAATGAAATGAGAGGTTTTAAGTTTGGTTCCTAACATTGGCATTGAGTTTTGTAACTTCATTTGTTTATTTTTATTTGTAGAGTAAGTGTACTCCTTCTTATGCTTTTACCACCCTTCTTTACAGACACTAAGAGGTCGTGGGTCCTTCATTTTTCCAAGTTTCTGATCATTTCCTTTCTCGATTCCATTTTTTTGGGCACAATTACTCATCAAAACTCATGATCCGCAAATGCTTTTTTCGATCTAATAATTGCGCCCTCAAAAGAAGACAGAAATCCCCTCACAGGAGACAACACACAAGAGAACCCTAAAAAAAAACCCCTTAAAAAATAAAATAAAATAAAATACCATAACAAAATACCAAGGAAGGCCCATTCTAGCACTCGCTACAAACACCATTGTGGTGTGAAAGAGACAAAACAACACTCCCTCCCCTCCTGGCCTGCTGTTATTTAAAGGCCGCAGAATTTTGGGGATCCCATATGGCCTACAATTCTGGACTTGTCTGGTTTTATTTAGGGCGCGTCCCCCGAGCGAGTATTAGGGTTCCCCCTTCCCTCCCCCTCTCAACCACCCTTACAACTTAACTTAACACGGCCCTTTCCTTCCCTTATATAAATATGCATCTTTCTAATCTCATCCTTTGTCCCCCATGACATACCCCCCCCCCCTTTCTTCTTCTTCTTTTGCCCTCGTGGCACAGTCCGAAGCCAGCGTGGAGGAGGAGGCTCTCAAGACCCTACAGAAAGGAACCCAAGTAAGGGAAAGAAAGGCACCGTGAGGAGGGAGAGTGAGTGGCCTTGGCCACGAAGACCAGGGAGGAGAGGGAGACTTGGGAGAGGGAGGGAGGGAGGGAGGGAGGGAGGCGGGCAGAGAGAGATTCCGGGGGGTGGGGGGGATGATACCGCTAATTCTGTCCATCCACTTGGAGGGGGGGACGGGAGGAGCAGAGGACTTGGGCTTACTAATATAAGGGTGGGTGGAGTGGGGATGTCCCACCAACAAACTCCCAAGCCCATGACCAGGGCATTACCTCCCTCCCCCCCGTTCCTCCCTCTTGCCTTCCTTATCTTAGCCCCGACCAAACCAGCCCAACTCAGCCCAGCCCCCTACCCGGCCCAGCTGGGGGTGGCCTCCTCGGACTATCTAAGGGTCCTTTCATTCTTCCTATTCCATGGACTGGTTGGCTTCATCCATCAAAATATGCCTTCCCCCCTTGTGTCTGTTTCTGTTTCATGGGGTTCGAGTCTTGTTCATTAAAAGAAAGGAAATAAACAGGAGAGGAGGCACACCGGTGCAGAATTTTATTGATGTTGCGGTTGTTGTTATGCTGTTTTTTTATAAGAGAAAAAGAGGGGAGGGTATCTGGAATGATACTTTGAACAGTTGTTTGACTATGCAATCACTCTCTCTTTTCCCTCTAACACCCCCCTGCCCAGGAAAAGGAACCTGTGCAGGAGAATAATATAACCAACCCGAGAAATTCTTCAAAGAAATTGCTTTGTTCGAGTGGGAACGAGCAAGCCTGAAATGCTGCATTCTTCGCCCTGAATGCAGAAGTGAGGAGTGATTCCCCACATTCCTTCGGATATGCATTGGTTTGGAGAACCCAGTCTTTCTTTTCTTTCTGTTTTCCCTTTTCTTTATACTTTCCTCTTTGTTTTTCCTCCTTCACTCATCCTGCATGTCTAGTTCGAGGAAAAAAAAACATATTCTATTGATGAAGTTGTTATTTTGTTTGATTACTTGTTTGTTTGAACTTCCGGAAAAATCGATCTGGAACTCAAAAACCAATACTATCAGAACCATCAGAGTGCGTGTGTGTGTTTGTGTGTATTTTTATATAATTTTTTTAAAAAAATTTGTTCTTTCTTCCTATTTTTTTTAATTACCAGGCCAGTCAGATTCTTTCGTTATGACTTCAAGCGTTGGGACTTGGGTTTCCTAAGCTCAGCAGGTTTCCGATCCCCTAACTCTCTAGAATCATAGTCTTCCGACACAGTCCCTTCACCTCTTCGGTACTTGCTTGTTGACGTGAGTCTATAGCCCCGAGTGCCCTCTGATTTCGTCATATATATATATATATATATATATATATATTATGCTGATCTTTGTCGTAAGTCGTCTGAATCTGGTTCAAGCGATCAGAATGCACTGTTGAAATAATTACTGCAACTTCGTCACATCTCGGACACATTTTAGTTACGAATACTCTAGTGTTGAGCCAGAACCCGAATCTAGACACAATGTAGAAAACCTGAAGAATGCCGATAGATTGATCAGTGTCTCAGCCTACTCTCAGCCTCCTCCTACAACATGTTTGAATATGGAAAACTCACTCGACAGGAAATGATGCAAGTTGCAATACATGGGGCTCCTCCTGTTGGCTCAAAATGCTTTTGTTTACAACTCCTGCATGATTCTGTGTGGCAGGGGCGCCGGTCCAACACTGGAGGTCAAGCTACTGTTGCCCTGCACAATTGACAGAAGCGTTGATGGTGGAAGAGAAGGTAGGCGGCAAGTACAATGCTGTAGGTTTACGCGGCTCAAGCAACCGCCATGTTTCGATAGTCCCCCTGATCGCAACCCTCCACCACAAGTCAGACAGACAATTTCTGACATTTGCGCCTGCGACAGAGCTACCCGCGTGGGGATAGTACATTTCTCCGTTTTTCATATTTTCCTTTGTGCAGTTCTCATACCAGGAGAGCTCCACCTAGCTGTCCAGCATTCATTTTATTTCCCAACAGCTCATTCGGTTTCAATTCTCTGTCAGAAGGTTGATCTTAGCACCGACACATGCGAGTGTCCTGTGGAATTACCGCATCTGGTCTCCAGGTGAAGTCCATGTCCTGTTCTTTGCGATCGATCACAGCAAGTTACTCTGAAGCGCAACTTAGTTAATATGAGATGCAATGGTCGACTTCGGCGCGCAGCCTGTTACTTTTGTTAAAAATTCAGGTACCGTTAGAAGGAGGAACGAGTCTTGAGCCAGCAGGTTTAACTTGAATCCCAAGAGCTTGCGAGGGAATATGTCGATCACTATAAATGGTTGAGAGCGAAGCTTGATGCCCCTCTTCGTGATGGTCTAGCCCGATTGATTCATGAAGCAATTGGCAGTTCTATTACAAGCTGTATGTACACATATAGTTTGGACCCCTGCTATCTGGGACCAGTCACTGCATGCCATTGTCTGGTAGAATTCTGTTTATGCAATGAACACATTGTGACGCGTATTTGACATTGTCTAGTGGGATCCGGTCCTTTGCCACTGCGATAGCTGATTGCGATGAAGGTGGTGCCCTGTAGATGGTGGGGTATTCACTGCTCAGTCAAAGATTTTACGTGACTCAGATACTTGCTGATACTACGTATAATTTTGCTCGGATCGTGGCTCGAAGTTGATAATTTCTTCGACATCTGTTGAGCTGGCTGAAATGATTCACTATTAATCAGTTCATGATTGTGGCTTAAGAAGGAGAAAAGAGGTCACATGCTGATGATCAGCCAAGGAAGAATATATAAAAGATCATCTGCTGATGGCAAGAGAGCCTTTCAACTCAACCGGCATTCGCGAGTGTTGTTTGTGAATATATAAATGTATATATACATATATGTATCTTTTGTCTGTCCATGAAAGTGTTGATCATTTTGGACGCAATTAAAATTAAGGACGAGTTGCGGCTGCATCGTGACCAGGACGACTGTACCGCTTATGCCTACATGAGTGTTGAAGCCTGATCTCGAGTGTGGAATCACGCGGTCACATCGTCGAGATGCACGGCAATTCATGGATCATCTCATTTTCCCTGGAATTTATAAGAAGGATACAACAATTCTGCTGAGTATTGCACCCATTGGAATTGACAACTGTGAGATAATCATGCAGGTGCAGGGGACCTGCGTAAGATCAAGGGGATCATGTAAGTTCGTGATATCAAGGATATCAATTGCAGCTCTGATCAACATCGCTCACTTTGGTTAATGACAGCTTTATCCACTTGGTTTTGGTATATCAGTTATGAAGCTCCCTGCAGATGCGACGTTGTTCAAGCCACTATTAGTGACCTACACTGTGATTGTTGCGAAGGTGTATTGTAAAAGCTGATCTCATTGTCCTCAGAGCATTATCTTTGGATACCTGGTCCCATAATGTTGCTCACATGGGCTCTTCCCTGCGTCAAAGTAGTCGCACTGAGCAGCAAACTGCTGGGTCTAGGGGCAGATGATCCGGACGCGGCCATGTTAAATCCTATCTCGTTCATGCTGAGTGGAGGGTTTTGGTCTTTCTTCTGACCTATAAAACCAGAATGATTACATAAGCCAAAATGCACACTAGATTTATGCTTCCAAATGCAGTTTCTAAAAAGTTACAGTAAGAAAAAGGGCCAATAACACTCTCAAATATCCTTGTTTTGTGCTCAAGTCACACATACCTATGCCAAGTATTCAGACAATGTGTTAAAATTTACACGGTTTTGCAATGAGAAGTACCTGGTGCAATGGAAAAGTCTACCAGACTTGTGATGAGAGGATCGTTCCAGAAAGCTGATGAAGAAGTAGTGGACAAGAATGGGTTCGTTTGTGGTTGCAACTGCAGGGCCTCTTCATTCCCAGCCAAGACATGAGGCTTAGTGCAGAATGGATTGAAGGAGCCAAACAGATCCATATCATCCGTCATAGTTTTAGTGGAGCTTCCTGAAGCAGTCTGTTCCAATTGACATGCTAACCTTGAATTGAATTTGTTAGGATGGTCGCTTAAGGGATAAAAACCTTCATTGACAGATTCCCGAGTGTGTGGTTTTTGCGATTCAAGGGATGCAAACGGAGGGTTGAAGTGTTCAAATGATTTCCCGCCAATGATGCTGTCAGCACTGCTCTCAGGAAAGACTGGGGCGAATGGTTGAAACTCGTTGTTTGTGATAATTTTTTCTGATGGCGGAGGTTGAAGAGGACTGGGCGTGGAAGCCTGGCAATGCGCATGAGGGCGCGAAGGATAACCATGCTCGGATCCCTGAGATGAGAAAAAAAATATACGTCTCTTATTTTCAACTTAAAAGCTGATGCAAGGAATCCCAAATTCATCCTGTAACTTTCTAAAGAAGATGTGAAGCATATGTGTCGTTTCCGTTACTTTATGTCAATACTCACATTCTCACTAAGTGGTGCCGCAATAGGTGGAAAAGACGCTTGAAACTCGACATCTGTGAACAGGTCTTCCAAGGCTGCATTTCGGCTGTGCTGGGTAAACATCTCATGCTTGGCAACAGGAACTTTAAGTTGTATCCATCCCCAACCAGTCGAAAAGTCTCAGCACAAGTGATACAACTTGAAACACAATTTGATTCATAGTTATTGATATTGGCTGTAGACTCGACTTAATATCTGTTGCTGCAGTTTCATTAATTACTGAGAGGCATTTGTCATTCACAATGATCTTTAACGACTAATTTGAGCTCAATTGAAGAGCAGAAGTGGATCGAAGAACCTGAAGGCCTTGAAGTTCCACGTGGATCGAAATCGTTCGAGTCATCGACAGTGGACTTGATTGTAAAGAAGAGACCTCTGCTTGACGTGCTAGGCGGAACCTCTGGTGTGGGTCCTGTACTTGCCTGAAGAAGATTGGTGTGGGCACGCATCACAGCTGACACTACTCCTTTGCTTGCAGAACATCTGGCACAGTCATAGCATTAGATTGCATACAAAATTCTTACATCAAGTCCTGTAAACAAACATCAGACTGCCAAACTTCCAGATGAAATTAAAATAAATTAAAATATCTAAAGAGGAGGAACTTTTGGGAGGAACTGCACATGCCGAATATTGTGCAACAAGATAAATCGAACAAAATGAGCCTATCAATCGCTCAAAACTACCTAGAATATGAGCGACAGTCGTCGAGATCAAGATTCATGTCTCCCTCCGCTGAAGACTTATCACTCTTGCGATCACCCACTTTCGATGAAACATAACCTTCGTGGTGCTCTCGTCCATCATTCATCTCGTCTCTATGCACGGCAGAATGTTTTCAAGACGTTTACTATTATAATCTCTCGACTCTTACTAGAGCCGTGATAAGATCCTCAAGTTCCTTTCAATGAATAATGCAGCTTGTCTCTGGTAAATATTCATGATGTAACGAAGTTCTGATCGAATGAACAAGTATAATAATATATAGACCTCGTCTGAAAACTGTGCGTAGTGAGCTATTTCTTTCTGTTTTCAGAGGAGAATTTTGCATTGAACGTGTGCACTCTACTGAAATGCTGCAGTTTTTAATTACAGCCTGCAAGCGTCACTTTTTGCCAGTACTCTGACCTGTTGGATTCTCGCTGATCTTCCTTGTGGACTTCATCATCCTTTTGTGCATTCACGCTCGAGCCTCCCCCATACCGCTCGTTTTCTTTGTCGCTGTAGCTACCGCTTGTGCTTAAATACGAACTTGGCTTGAAGCTCATCCCCGTATTAGAGAGGCCTCGATACCTGCACAGCATGGAAGAGCCATGATAAACTATAGACTGTGATTTTCGGGAACTAATGTATGCATGGCCACCAAGCAAGACCATCTTTACCATCTTTCGAAGAGGGCACTCACTTATCTCTGTTAGCAGCAGCCTTTTGCTGTAGTTCACGAATCTTGCCAGGGTCATTGATCAGCGCCAACAGGCTCTCTGCCTTTTTCCTCACATTGATACCCTGATCTTTGCCGTTGGGCTCAATGTGTTGGAAATCCAGTAAAACCTGCCATCACCGATGAACATACACAAATGCTTTTTGCCAGTAGGAAATTCCTCTCGCTTGAAATTATGCAACGCATGAGGGATATGTGATTGCGTTGGTAATCTTTTCAGCTCACCTGGATTTGGTAAGCCTGCTCCCGCAGTTCATCAATTACTCGCTCAGCTCCATTGGCAATGAGGTACTCCATCACTGCTAGTGACTGGCAAGCACCATCAGTCATTGAGAAAGAAACTTGTAATAAATCAGTTTACAAGTAATTATGTCTAGTTTCAGCTTGTAAACATCATGACAGATTTCCAGGGTTGCCACAGAGGTTAGGATTCTGAACCGACAGTCTACATTCTGATGACAGGAGGTGCCTTTCTAAAAAAAAAAAATCCTCCCAAAGAACGGGGCAAGGTAAAGAAGCTTCTTGAGGCCACTCTGAGTATTATGGATAATATAATACGCAGCAGAAATTCAATGAGAGATGACATAGGTCACTTTGAGAAACAGAAAGGAACTAAGAAACTCAACCTTATAGACGTGTCGCCAATTCTTCCCAGAGTCGTGCAAGCGCTTCCACAAAACCCCCATAATCATGTGATAGTCTTGGCTGCATGAATTGAACATGTAAAGTTTGCCATCATGGAATACTTATTCGTTTAGAGTTACAAATGCAAAGAAATAAGCAGATGTCTTTGAGATGAACTGGGTGTTCTTTGCGCAAGTCTTACAAGTTCCGAGTCGCTTGTGCGATATCACCCATGATTGCTCCATGCGGTCCCCAGGGCTCATTGCTCGTGGCCTCGCAAACCTAAAGCAAATAGAAAAAAAGTTTTCATCGGGTTAAAGAAGATGACGGAAACAACCAGAATGTTCTGCGTGCAAGGAAAAATCTCTCCGTGCTGAATCGGGACGTCAAGCAATCTCTCCCCAAGTCACAGATTTACGAAGCTGAAGATTTCAGAACATGTCATGCGCAAAGCATTGTTGGAAGCACCTTCGTTGGACAAATCTGAGAGAAATACTGGCAGGATTATCTTACTTTGAGCTCAATTTCAGGCACCTTGAGGACTTTCTTGTTCACTTCCCTCTTACTGCAATGTCATGCACACCCGCGCTTCAATATTTCCATAAAATGGTGATGACGCACTCACGACATTGGGAGGAGAAACAAACCTGTCAGTTAAAGATGATTGTTGAACATCAATACACGATTGAAATCCAAGAACTGGGTTGCTTTGCCACTTACAATTCTCGGACCGTTTGGTCCAACACTTTCTTTAGATCCATGGCGCTCAGGTCAAAGCCCCCATGTCGCACTCTATCAATCTTGCACAATGTTTCCCTTGCGTCCACCAAATTCTTAACAAGCGTTGCCTGGTTCATTAACCCCGCTGAGAGTCTACCACTACAGTAGCATTCTCTTCAAAACTGCTGTCAACGTGCCTGCAACCATGACTGCACTTGTTAACTCCTACCGCAACACACAAAATTAGACTGCAATCGCATTTCTAAGGCTCCCCACCCTGTCCTTGGCCTCACATGCATTGTCTACTACTTCATCTCGTCAGTCAATTTTCTCTTCTTAGAATCGTAGAATTCGTTTAATGGGTGTCCAGAGGAGGACCCTCTATACTCGTAAATCCAGTATGGTATAGTTGAAGCTCACCAAAGCTCTGCCATGGTCCACTTGTGCAGCATGTCAAGAGAGAAAGGGAGAGTGTTTAGCGGGGATCACGATGGTGGTTACCAACGATTCGGGCAGGCGCAACTTTTTCTCTCTTCCCTGCCCCAGAATGGCATGTGTTACCGTTTTTGCAAGACTTCCAACTTTCATCGCTGTGCATCCAATCCCCGCGAAATCGTGTGTTTTCGTCGTCTTCCCACTCTCGATTCCTTCGAAATGCCTTGCTAGGTTCGCAAGTGTTAGCGTTTCGGATTGTCATCGACGGTGGTGGCCATGGCGGAGCGTACGCTGCTTGCCAGGCGCACGACGGCCTTCGCCCCTTCGCCAATTCAGCAGCTATCGCTGCTTGCACAACGATGCAATGCTATCAATCTTGCCGAAGGTAAGCATCACCAACATGAATATCATCTCGTACACAGCTTTGCTGTTCCTCACTTTCACTATGCCTTCGATTTTTGAGTTTTGAATTTTTCTGGGTGCAATCACCAAATTAAGGGACCGTGTCTTGTTCTGAATTTCGAATACTGGAAATGGGATCGATGCTGATTGGAAAATTTATTATCTCACAAGCTACGGACGTTGACCTCGGAAAAATCACTGCGTGCTGTGATTCTATGACTGAGTTCGAGGTCTGTGTAGACAAACAGCTCAGACATTTGTTCGGTTTCTTTCTGCTCACTCAGTACTCTGCCAATTCTCCAAAAACCAATTTTCTCTGAATCCGTGCGATCAAAAATTAGGCTCTCCTTGCTGACGAATTCATCCTCTAGGCAACCCCCCCCCCCCCCGAAAGTGCTTCTTTGAGCGACAATGTGACATTCTTTGAAAGAAGTTTACTGATAAATATTGTTGCACTTGGGAGTGATGCAAAACAGGGTTTCCCGACTTTCCAGCTCCACCCGAAATCAAGGAGGCTGCTATTGCTGCAATCAGGAGTGATTTTAACCAGTATCGGTAAGTACTTCCGTTTGACATGCATGTCATTTCAAAGTATCAGGTTTGCACCCCCTTGTGTCTTGGTTGCCAGAATCTTCAAATCATCAAGTCACAGCTGCAGCAAGAAAATTACATTATCCAAGGCTGATCAACTCATCTTAGACCAAGGATTAGCCCACATAACGGGCACGAACATATTTGATGACCACTACTGCGTTGGACCGAGCACGTGACTTGGTTTCGCAGACATGTGCAGGGCGTATGTGAAAAGGTTGCGGAGGCGTTTGAAATGTCGCATGGTGTGAGGGTTGATGCAGCAACACAGATCACTATCTGCTGCGGCCAGTCGGAAGCTATGGCCGCCACTGTTTTTGCTGGTAATTCATGCCACTCAAGAGTCCCCACATCCGTCACCTCCACTTCAGTCGATTTCTGTTACTATATCCAAGACTCTCTAAAAGTGTGTAGTGATTTTGTACTCTGGGTATGGCAGTAGTGGAAGAAGGCGACGAGGTTGTGCTTCTTGATCCAGTATACGAAACGTACCAGTCATGCATCATACTTGCAGGAGGAACCCCTGTGAGTCTCGCAACATGTGTTAAGTCTTTCATTTTGTATCAAGTTCGAGATCTAATGTATGGATTTCATGTCTGTAAACGATTGTAATATCTCCATGCAGTAATCAACCTGGATGTCTCAGCTTGGTGTTCCTTCGACTATTGAAGCAATTTCGTTTAATCTTCTTATATGTATATGACATGGAAGTCATGATATCTTACTGTCAACTCACTCGCAGCCAAAACTCACATGGCGCTCCAAAGTATTAGGTTTATATGAGATGTGTAAGTATCTGTGAGTCCTGACTGTCATTCTTTCGTGCCACCAGAGATATGTGTCTTTAAACCCGCCCCATTGGAGTTTGGATTTTGAAAACTTGGAGAGCGCGTTTGGCTCGAAGACAAAAGCCATTATAATTAACAGGTAGGTAATCGCGGAAACATACACTCACGTACACTTTTATCGTTCATGTATGTAATCTTGCGGTGCTCATGTGTTGACTTGACACGGCCGATGTTGTAGCCCCCATAATCCCACTGGCAAAGCGTTCAGCACGAGCGAGCTCGCCAAGATAGCAACTTTATGCTGCAAGTACGACTGTCTAGCAATTACTGATGAGGTACTTGATCCATCAAGTCCTTGGTTCAGTCCACCAATATCATTCTAGTCAGACTTCGCAAAGGAATATGCTGAGTTATTTTGACGAAGTCAATTTCTAAGCAGTTGCGAGAGCAGGATTGGTTTTTAATGTAGGACTTCTAAGCAGACATGCATGGATAAATGCAGATTTAACACAATCACTAAAGCCTAGGATCGAGGCACTTTCACCGACGGTCAAGTGTTAAAATGGGATTCGTGTTTTCTTTTGCAGGTGTATGAGCACATCATCTTTGACGGACGTGAGCATGTGAGTATAGCGTCATTTCCAGGCATGCAACAACGAACTATTGTGACATCTTCGTTATCCAAGACGTTCAGTGTGACAGGTGTGTGGTTCCCCTTTGCCGTTTATGTTGCTCACATTTTTGAAGACTAGTGTTTGGTAGGCTGCGATGAGGTTAAATGTGACCCTGTTAAGCACTGATGTTATTCTTTGTTTACACCATAGATTGTATTTTATCTGCTGGTTTCTGCAGGATGGCGAATTGGGTGGGCAGTAGCACCGGCCACTATAAGTGCTGCAATCGGAAACATCCACGTAAAAATGACAGATTCTGCACCAGCTCCTTTTCAAGAGGCCGCTCTTGTAGCGCTTCAAAGCACGACTAACTTCTTCACGCAATTAAAACAGGTATGATGCTTACACTCTGAGATATCTCTCTCTGTCTCTCTCTCTCACTCTCTCTCTCTCTCTCGATACATACATGTCAAGAGAGAGAAAGAGAGAGAGGATTCCAGGTTGCATGGCATGTGGACTGTACATATACCTACTCCAGGACAAACTACTTATCTTGTGAGCTAACGAGGAAGTAGTGTTTTTTTGGTGATTTCTGATGTAATTAGGAATACGAAGAAAGGCGAGACTACGTCTGTGAAATGCTTCTGCAAGCTGGCTTCTCCAACTTCTTAAAACCAGAAGGCTCTTTCTTCGTATTCGCAGAACTTCCTAAGGCATGTCCTCTTAATGATGTAAGTATTGTCATACATGACTCTTACTTCTAGGCAACTAGAAGACCAGCACATTATGATTGTAACGTGTGGAAGAAGTATTATTGTAATTATTATTATTATGATTAGTTTTTGAAGCAGAGCGTGTTTCAGGTGGATTATGTAGCAGAACTCATTCAAGGAGCTGGCGTTGCCGTAGTCCCAGGGCGTGGGTTCTTTCATCAAGCTGCTGATACTGTTGGACAATCTACCCAATTTAAGGATCAATCTAATACTGGAGAAGAGCTTTCAGCTGAGGAAGTTTATGATAGTAATGGAGCAACCAAATTTGGTGAGCTTTGCATTCAGAACTATACAACACGGTATATAAGAGTGGCTTTTTGTAAGGACATGGCCACTCTGAGGGCTGCTAAAACTGCAATCCAGAAGCACCTTGCATTGGTGGACCCTGATACAGGGCATAAACAGCACTATTCTTCTCAGTGTAGTCTTGATCGTCCCCATTTCTTCACGTGAAGGGTGCATGTGGGCATTTTATAAAATTCAATGTTGATGTAACATACGGTGCTTGTTCTTCACGCCTATATCCCTGGCCACAATCTCTCCAGTTTTTATTCCTCCAAAAGTACTGAGAGTATTCATGTGGTTGTTAAATGTTTTCAATCTTTGGGTTTTGAGTTATAGCACGTACAGTAATGAAGATGTGATGCCGTGTGCCAGTTTATGTAGTTATGAGTACAGTGCTTGGTAGCAATATGAAAGAAAGATCTCTGAAGGAAACGTCTGTCAAAATCAAAACCTCAGAATTTTCGAATACCTGGTTTTTCTAACATACATCTTCAATTTCACTTTTGTATTCCAACATTGTTTCCAAATCTTTTGGCAGGAGCAGCAACTTAAGTGGGTGCGAGTTCCTGGTCAGACCCAGCCACATTTATCAAAGCCCGTCACAACTCATGTGTACTGTGTCTTAAAATAACTTTAAAACAACACACGAATACAAAGTAATTCGTTGGTTTTAATTTTTATGTTTTAGGTAGAAGTGCTTAAAATATGTTCAGAAAGCCCTATACTCATGCAAATACTTCATTACTTTACAGTTTATTTTGTATCTTGTATCAAACTCAGGTAGTGAGATCAACATTTTTCTCAGTTAAAAACGGATTCAGATTACTAAAGACTATAAAATCTGGTCTTGGTCAAAAGTGTAGTTACTTGGATTTTTAGTTGAAACTCAATACGTATCATTTAATATTCATTCAGTACTTGAACTATAAAAAATAAAAATAAAATTTTTCAAATGACTCTGGTACTTTCAGGTTTCTCAATTTACAACAGCTTTTGACCACTAAGATTTTTTTATATTGTGCTATTTAAAACATAAATAGTACAATATTAAATTTCTTGGTTTCATTAGCATTTAAAACATTAATGAAAGAATAATGACTGTCAAAAACAACATAATTCATAATTTGTATATTTTAATGAAAGATACCCAGAAATTTCCAATTACATTAAGAGCATATTATATCATTCTTTTTACCAATAAAATTTTATAAGTTAGTAATGACTAAATCAAAATTCATATGTATATATATATATATATATATATATATATATTATGATCATAATTGTTTTTAAAACTGATAATGAGAAAAAAATTTAAATGATTTTAAAAAAAACATATACCTATAAATTTTCTTTTAAAAGCTCTTACTTATATTATTTTAAAATATATATGTTATACGTCTTTAGAATTAAATTTATTTGTAAAATTGTGACTAAAACTGAAGACTTTGAGACTAAGTTTTAGAATTTTTGATGCACTCCTTCAAAATAATTAGATGGGGACAAAATTATCTCTCTAAAAAGGCTCATTTGTTGGGCTATGTTGGTTGTGTACAATACTACAATTTTTGTATATTCATTTTGCATATTCCACAAGGAAATTCAGAGTTTTGAGTTGGGAAAGAATTTTAACATCGTTTCCTCGCAACACAATAACTTCCACCACGATGCCAGGCGACTATACCCTACCTAGTGAGGCAACTATAATACCCGGTGAGTGGCGGGTATTAAGATACTCTGGTGGGGTCGGGTATGTAGGACGAGCCGGGCTGTCATCTGTCACGGAAGGTGCAGAGGGCAACCAACTAACCAACCAGTGATAAAGGGAATCAAATCAGTAGTGGACTCATTCAAAATTAACATTTTCCTAAATTTACATATTATTTACTTTGATATAAATATATATATATATATATAGATATTCAATTCTTAATTTATTTTTTTACATTGGACAAACTCTTCAACTTTCCGGATTCTAACCTTATTCTTCACATGTTACTCATGTTGAGGCTGCCTTTAACGCTTTATGGTTTTATTGCACATTCATAATTCTGAGTTTGTGTGTGGTTAATATTTTATTAGAACTGGAATGACCGAGAGTATTTATATATATATATATATATGTATGTATATATACACTATAAATTTCTTTTTAGTCGATAAATTGCAAATGATTGTACTAAAACCAATATTCAAGTTTTATAAATGTAGTTCTTCTTAGATATGTTGAATCATATATTTTTGTAATAAGAGAACTGTGATTATTATTGATCAAGTTTTACATTTATCTTTGCAACAGATTTATTGGAAAATGAACCTTACTTGGTTTGCTGAGTAAAACAATATTTTAAATTTTTGTACAAAAAACTTGATTAGAAAGAAGAACAAGTACAAAGAGATTGCTGAGAGTAGCACTACGAGACTACTGGTGGTGGAGCTTGAAAGCTCCCAATTGTAATTTTCAGTAAATATTTTTCGTGGGCAACGGCACATGTTTCCACTGGTGTGTGAATAAAAAATTACACACACACATATAAATGTATGTGTGTGTGTATGTATGTATGTATGTATGTATATAGAAAGACAAAATAAAAATAAATAAATGATTAGAATGTTAGAAATAATACATTCAAGAGTTGCACTTCTCATGTAAGGATTGACCAATTAACAAAGAAGGGGGGGGGGATAATTGGCCCACATCACAAACACAAATACAAACTTGTACACATGTGCACTGAAGACAGGGAGAAATATACAGCGAAAGTTACACAACATTCATCCAGGCCAAAGGCCACGTCACCAAGGCAGGCAGGCAGGAGGGCACGGTGTGAACACGTCCTATAGGGGGGTGGGGCACTGGTTCAATAGGGCGGAGGAGGACCCTTTGTCCGCCGCCTCGCGCGGGGCCTCTCTCGCTCGCTCGCTCGCCCTCTCTTTCACGGCCTATGTCCCTGCCGCACATTGTCGCCGATTCCTACTCTTCTCCAGATTGCGGGCGCATCCCCCTCCTCATATCTTTCAATCTATCAGTCAATCAATCAATCTCTTGTTTTCTTGCTTGCGTAATTCTGAGCCCGCCGATTCGGATCTTCTCGTTACGTTTTCCGGAACTTGTGGGAAACAAAAAAAGGATGAGCCCGCGTGTGCTTGGACCTTAGCCTTTCGAATTCCCGCGATCGGCATTGTTGCATTCTGATGCGAGTCGTTCCTGCAATTGTGTATCTGTGTGCTACACGGAAGCGTGATAGGCTTTAGTCGTTCCACAGGGAGCACCGCGACTCGGGAGGATGTAGATGGTCTACTAAATCCTCGTGGCGTTTTAGGAGCGCGCGACTCTGTTTTTGCGATTTGTCGTAGTGTTTTCCCCGACAGTGTACGTGTAAGTTTGTTTTGGGTAATCATGCATTGATGAGTGTGCTGTGGAGTTCCCGAGATTGGAGCTTCCTCGGCACGCGTGCACACAGGAACCAGGAATGACTAGAATCTCGTTCTGGGTTTGTCCTTGAGTAGGACACTGCTACATCCATTTCAGTCTCTGTTTCCTTTGGATCTCACGTCCGCTCGAATCTCTCTGATGCACCTTGGCATTGATCTAAGTCTCTCACGTGAATTGCAGGTGTTAGGCTCTCTAGTTTTACTTTTGTAACGGTCTCAACAGATTCAGAGCTTTGGAACCGTTCACTAGTTCACGAATTCATTAGACTAGGAAGTTTTCAGGGAAACGTCTTCTGGTTCGAACCCGCCATCTCTTTCTTTCTTTTTTTCATTTAAAAAAACGATTGATTTTTTAATCATTTTTGAGACTGTGAGTACGAAGAAGCTCTGCGCGGGTCTAGTTCACGAAGGTCGCCTGGAAATGCTTGCCAAGCTCGGATTTTAGCTTCTTATGCAGGCACATCTCATCAGCTTGCTCGAGTCGTGGTTGGTCTTCTACAGTCCACTGATGGCATCGCCGCCTGTTTCTTAGCTGGTCGGTGAATTGTTACTCTATTGCCGTGCTTGTGGTGCGTCTAGAACATATGATATGTTGAACTGGAGTTCAGTGTAGAGTGCTATACTCTCATTCCACGTGAATCTCGGAGGCAGTTCCATGTTCCTTAAACCTTGGAGCGTATGATCTTGTGGCTTTTTATTTTTTAAAATTTAGAGTCCTCTGCTATGCACGGTTGGACCGACTTATACCTACATTTCTAGCCGTGTCCTGGACTTAGCCGCCAGAATTATATCGTCCGTTCCTTTACTTACAAAATGGAATTATTAGATTTCTGGAATCATTGAAGTTTTGCATCGGGGACATTTCCAAGCATTAAAAAATTCTGTAGACTGTAGCTATTGCTAGAATATGGCATGGGATCCGGACATTGCTTTGGAGTCCTTCTTCGGCAGCCTGAGAGAGGAGATCGTCAATGCGGAGATGCTTACAATGCAGGAGGATGGAGACGATATTGCAACTTTGAGTAGTAAGTCGTCCGAGCTTCGAGGAAAGATTTGTGTCCTCAGCCTTGATGGTGGCGGCATGCATGGAATAATACCTGCACGCTTGCTCGCTCACCTCGAGGAGCTTTTGAAGCAGAAAAGTGGAGATCAAGATGCGCGCATTGCTGATTATTTTGATGTTGTAACAGGTAATTCATCGATATCTCATCGTTATACAGTGTAGATTCTCACACTCTTGGTCTCTGGGTTGTTTTGAACTTCTCTGCTTTTCTCGATTGTGCTGCATCCGTGTTTCAGTTTTCTGTCTACCACCCATTGGTGTCGTTGTTTTTCACGAGACTGTGACCCAGTCCAGAATAAGTTTGAAATGTTTCGCTCACATTCCGTCGTTGTTTTTACCTGACGATGAAATTTGATGCAGGGACATCGGTGGGAGGTTTGATAGCCACCATGCTCTTCACAGGTGACGAGAACAGTAGGCCTTTATTCCGAGCAGAGGAGGCATGGAGGTTGATGGCAGAGCGGGGACGAGAAGTGTTCAAGAAGGTCTCAAGGTCCTCTGTGTGGTCGAAGTTGAGATGGAAGTCGAGCAAAACCAGTTGGTTCTCGGCTAAATCACTAGAGCAGGTATTCAAGGAGTATCTGATGAGGAAAGATGGCAGCGCCCTGACACTCCGCGACACAATTAAGCCCGTGTTGATCCCTTGCTACGACCTTGCCACAGCCGCCCCCTTCCTCTTTTCGCGTGCCGATGCTCTCGAAAGCCAGACATGGGACTTCAATCTCTGGGAGATTTGCCGCGCCACTACTGCCACTCCCCCTTTCTTCCCCCCTGCGTGTGTCACTTCCGTTGACGGAAACACCTCATGCACAGCGATCGACGGACGAGTCGTCATGCACAATCCTACTGCCGCTGCAATCACGCATGTTCTCCATAACAAGAGAGAATTCCCGTTTGTGCGCGGAGTGGAGGACTTGTTGGTTTTGTCTCTGGGAACTGGGCAGATCGACCAGACTTACATGTACGATACTGTCCGGGGATGGGGCACGATGCAGTGGGTGAAGTCCCTTGCGAAGATCGTGTTGGATGGTGTCGCGGATACTGTAGATCACACCATCAGCATGGCTTTCGGCGAGCATCGCAAACATTACCTTCGGATTCAGGTGACTTATCCTGGGCCTGGTAGATATTCCACCAGGTCCAGGCATGTGTGGAGTGCGGACTTGCAAATATGGACGTGCAGTGTATTGCATCGTCGATATGTTCTTTTCCGATCACTGATTTGTGTTTTCTCTCTTCTCTTGTTTTGCTTTGATCAGCTTTTCGTCATTTCAGTGACTCTTCTAGAGCTCTCTTTGGCCTCAACTTACAGCTATCGTTGGTGCTGCATTGCTAACTAGTGCAATGATTTGTCCTCTGCAATTTGAGACTGCATGTGTGTTCTATCGTGTGTCTGTGAGGATTTCTTGTGAACTCTGGGGAAGCAGGAGGGAGGAATATGAAGGAATCAGAAAAAATGTGCTATTGTTTTCTCTTCCTGCCTGGTCTCTGAATCCAACAAGGCTCGTGTTTTGTACCTGGAAGAAGTTCAATGTCACGTGTCAACCAAAAAGTGCATGAAATGTGTCCACATGTTGTGTACATATTGGTAGCTGATTGCACTGCCGTTTATTTTTTTGTAGATGGCAGGATTGCCGAACAAGACAGAGACAGACGTTAATGACGTAAACCAGCTCTTGAAACTTTCAGAAGATTTGTTGGACCAGAAAAGCATGGAGTTTCTTCCATTTGGTGGTCGAATGCCTTTGTCTGTGAGCAACAGAGATCGGCTTGATTGGTTTGCGGAGCAGCTCGTGAAGGAGCGAAAATCAAGGTGATTACCTCTGATGCCCGCTATTATGATAACGTGCATCTTTTATTCGTACTTCATTAATTGAAATTCTTGTAAGTCCTGGCTCAAGCCAATCATTTACTTTAGTGGTTTTCTTATCTTTTGTTTTTGATTAGGCGAAGTTGCATCCTGGAGGCCTAAGCAGCATAATAACCATCTGATTAGCAAGGACTTCTAATCATTTCTTCTCGCCCATCTTCCTTGATAGATCACTGATGCTGTGATCGAAGTTATCAGTGAGTGGCAGAGCATCTAATGATGTATATCTGTCCTGCAGAACTCCAGCCGCAACAGAAAGCGCATTCCAGAATTTTATTGAGAAACTGAAAAGTTCCTGTCCTGAGGTGTCTACGGGGAAGGAGTGAATACTGTCATGATGTCATTACCAAAGATCCTTCGCTCTGAGTGATAGGGGAGGTTCAGGAAAACAATCATGAATCTGCTTCGGTGAGAACCATGAAGGTGGTGGTGAAATTTGAAACTGCCCGTCTTACTTTCGTCTCAAATTCTGAAAGACTAGGTGACTCTCTCACTTCATACTTGTTTTCGTGCGCACAGTTGAATTCAAAAATAAGAGCAGATCCAGCCAAGGCATTGTAGATCAAGAGTCCTTCTTGCAGAGCAAGATTTAAGAAAAATATCTTTAAAAACCTGTGCACTGTCAAGAACTCGGGCATTAGCTTCTAGTATTTGTCAAAGCATTTAGTTTTCAGCTCGTACAATTCCACATAGCTTTAATCCACTTATGTTCTAAGTTTCTGGTGCTCTATTATTTGCGCCATTTCCTATGAGAGATAGGTACATGGTCCTAGGAGAAGTCCATTGCTCTCTTTCACATCTTCAGAGTCGTTCCATAGTGCTGAGTTGTGCATGATTCTGCTGCAGGAATCAATTGGTGTTCGGTGCGCATGAGTGCCTACAATTGTGTGCTCGCGCACCTGTCTGGAAAGCTCCAATGGTCCCAGCATAAGAGTGAGATTCTTAGCTTTGGAAATTCAAGGTGGTCCTCCACGGCGCTCTTTACAATTTGTAAAGACTGCCCAGTGATGAAGCAAAATTCCCTTCATGTAATTTATTGGCGTGTAAAGCAAGTCACCAAGTTCATCATGCTGTTCATTTCTCATGTACAACTTTGGCATCAAACTTCAGTGTACATCTTTCTGTTGAGTTTCTTTTCCTAGATAGTAGGTTGTGCCCTTTTTCCTCGATTCAAGCAAAAAGACAAATAGCTTAATTGTATAACATGACCATCATATTTGTGGTCCGTAGAGTATTTTCTTAGAATTGTTTTTGCAAGTCACTCCCATTCTATCTTCCACAAAACATCATCCGCCCAAGAGTTTCGGCGTATCGGATCTCATCCTGCGTAACTTCTTACTGGTTTCTAAGGAACTGAAGCCAAAAGTCTAGATAAATTACTTGGTGAGTGACATTTCAGCGTTGACATCCACTTACCCAATGATACGAGTTGGGTCGACGTCCAGTCCTCCAAGTTAGTCACTCTCTCCCATTTCTGCAGGTGCAGTCAACGTTTCTGCTCTACTAACAAGTGGGAACCAGCCACCTTCAGTTGCGAAGATTCATGTAAGATAAACCCTAAACCTGAATGAAAAAAAAAAAGAAAAAAAAAAGAAAAAAAAAAGCAGCTGATTAGAGGTTGCTTGCAAGTATTTTTTTCTTCTGTTGGAGTCACTTCATCTGGTACTGTACGAAGGACACAGCCATAAATGACAGCAAAGGTATTCCTATGTAACTGGCTGCCCATCACTGCCCTCACAATGCCTTCAACTGAAGGACAACACCAACAACACAAATTCTGAATTGTGGTAACTTGTTGTGGCCTTTCTTGTATTCATTCACTCTTGGCTGCTATGAATTGAATATTTACAGACAGAAGTCAATTGCAATCCTTCAGTATGTGGCACTGGTGTAAAGCAGATTACTGGGTCTTCTGTTAACCTAGTAGTCCAGCTCAAGCAGTGGAATGTAGGTGATGCAGAATTTGATTGTGGGTGCACCTTCAGAAGTTGACACAAGGAGTGTCTGGAAGCAATCTTAGCTCTTCAGTTCGATGATAAGCATTGCAATCTGAGTTCAGGATAGAAACATTTGATAAGGCTAGTCCTGACACTCACTGAATTGTGCCCCTAATTCACGCTTCCTGTGTGGTGTGTTCATCATCGATCTTCACATCAACAAACTGTTCCTGTGGGTGTACTTATTTTGTCTTTGTCACTACGGTCAAATTTTGATTGCTTGGCACTTCAGAGGCTAGTCTCATGAGGTTTTAAATTAGAAAATGAGCATAATTTCTTGATTTTCAATTTTTACAGAAAAAAGAAAACAAAAAACCAATTTGTGCTAACACGGTTGAATTTATTTGCATCGATGTGATTCTTCATAATTGTTGTTTTGAAACCACTAATTGTGTGTGATTTTCAAAATGTTTGATTATCATGATAAGGTATAAAAACTTGAGAAATGTACAGGAAATGGATTTTTCTGGACTCTTAAAACATGTTTTTGATAAATTTTGTATTTCAGTCCGCAAATGCGAAAACGCTTCAAGGATGTCAAGAACTAATGATCATTTCTTAGTATTCAATTCTTCAGAATATATGGTTAACGAAGAAAAAGGCTAAATCCACAGAAAAAAAATTTGAGGGGGTTCCGAATCACACCACCACAGCAGTGGTTTCTCCTCATCCAGATACCACAAAGGGTTGTGGCTGACGACTTAACGCGGGAAGAATAGGAAGGGTGGGACCAATCAGAAATCGCTTATGTGGAATCCTAGTGGACAGAGGGGTTGGCCACGCAAGCATGCTTTATCGAAAGTTCCTTCCATCCTCGCTCGTGAGTTCTTGATAGTTCCATCCTCAAGAGCGACGCGCCGTAAATCAGACCACGGATCTCGGCGATGGTGGGGCCACTGTAGTGATAACATTAGTGCTCGTCACGACCAATTTCGCCGTCTCTCCATCGTTTTCTGGACTGCTGATGCTGTAAGTTAGTCCTCCTCCATTTCCTACGCTTGTCAGGTCCTGCTGTTGCCCTCAGATTTTTTACAGCTATTTTTAGGGAGCCTTTTCGTTTGAGACCGTTACTATGCGACGTGGTTGAGAGGAACTTCAGGGTTGAGCATTGGAAGCGTTGACATTGTCCGTGTGCTCTTTTCTGGAGAGAATCTGATTGTAGAATCGAGAATCTCCGGCATCTTAACTAGTAGCAAGTGGTGTCAAGTGCAGGAGATGTGAGGTTTTTTTGCCTAAGTAGCCATACGCGTATTCTGAGGTAATGTTCGTTCTAAACGTCAAATGATGCGTTACTGCAATTTTCTTTTTACGTACTTTTTATATTCTCGAGGAGAAGTTGTTCGATCGTTAGATCATGACGGAAGCTTGGTTTCAGGCATGTGTCCTCTGCTACAGGCCACGCGCGAGCACAGTGATCGGTGGCTAATTGTCCATTGCCTACAGGGAGTAGAGGAGCGTGCTTTGTGATGTTTAGTTTTCGATCGTCCCAGTGAACTGTAAACTAGAACCCTGATGTAATAGGGAGTCGCACACGATAACTTGACCGGAGGAATTTCGTTTGGTGCTGCGGTGGATGATTTTCGTCGCTTGTCTGCTCATTTTCATGAGGAATTGTTATTGTTGAGAATCTTTAGAAAGACACAATAGTAATAGTAAGTAATACACACACGCACAAGAGCAGTAGTAAGTCATACACACACAAGAGGGTTTCTAAGGAGAGAGAGCTTCACACATAAAATTTTATTGATCTAGTTGTGTCTTGTATATAAGAGGAGAAAAGGGGAGAGGATAAATAATACTTCTTCACTAGACTCTACATATTGTACCTATAGTATTTATTGTAGCCTATAGTAAATATTATGGAGAGCGTCGGCTACATTTAATGATTTCAACACTCCTCTTCGTTCATCATAATATTTACATAATATAAAATTTGTATAGAATTATGATCTATACTTTTTTGTGATCTTGTAAGATCAACAATTATTGCCTCATTAAAACCTTATTGTATTTAAGGACCATAGATGAAGGAAAAAGTATACATCATTTTCTTTAATTATTTAAAGAGCTCGTTAACTTTCTTATTCAAGAAAAGTAAGTCGTCGCATACTAATGCCATAAGTAAGTCGACAATGGTTGCACAATGGAAGAGCTTTGGTAAAGAGATCAACAAGGTTATCTGTAGATTTAATTTCCCTAATTATAAGTGCTTGATCAATAATCAAGTCATGGGTATAACTAAAATACTTTAGATCAATATGCTTTGTGATGTCGCCTTTAATGAAACCAATTTGTATCTATGCAATACAAGCATTGTTATCTTCATACAAGATAATTGGAGAATCATCATATGAAAATCCACGGGTTGTTTGAATGAATTTATCAATTGATCACAATCAAATACATTCTCGAGATGCTTCATGTAAGGTAGTAATTTTTGCATGGTTGGATGAAGTTGCAGTTATTGTTTGTTTCACTAATTTTCATGATATTGCAGCTCCATGTCTTAAAAATACATATCCTGTTTGAGATTTAGTTATTGCACTATCAAATTTATATCCTGCATCACAATATCCAACCAATTTTGGATCTGCGGATTGTGTGTAGTATAATCCCAAGTCTTTAGTATCTTTTAAATAATATAATAAATATTTGATGCCATTTCAATGTCGTAGTGTTGGACATACACTATGTCTTGCAAGAACACTAACTACAAATGCAATATCTAGTCTTGTAGATGTAGCTAAATACAAAAGTGTTCCAACTACTACGAGGTATAGATATTGATCTCCTAATATTTCTTCCTCTTCCTCGCATGGATGATATGGATCATGACCATCACGACCACAACCAATGATTGGTGTGGACAATCGATAAGCATCAATCATATTAAATCTTCACAAGATTTGTCTAATATACGTTAATTGGTAGAAAAAAATGCTACCATCTGTTAGATACATAATCTGAAGACCAATGCAAAAAGTTATTTTTCTTAGCATTTTCATCTCAAATTCACGTATAAGAAGGTTAGTAGTTGTAACACATGTAGATGTAGTGCCCACTAGGTTAAGATCATCAACATATACAACAATGATCACAAAACCAGTTTTATCTCGTTTAATAAACAAACAAAGGATTAATAGATCACTTATAAAATTATTTGTAATTAAATAATCTCGAAGACGTTGATACCACATGTGTCCAAATTGTTTTAAACCATACAAGGCCTTACATAATTTAATACCACGATATTGTCCTAGAGCGGGTCGAATTTTCATATAAATATTTAGAATTCTTGTTTCTAAGCCAAGTTGAACTTTCACATAAATATTTGTATCAAGAAAATCATATAGATATGCAGTTACTACATCCATCAAATGCATCTCTAAGGTGGTATGAATTGTCATTCCAATAATATATCAAAATGTAATTAAATCCATGACTGGAGAATATGTGGATTCATAATCAATGCCAAATCATTGAGTAAATCCTTGAGCAACAAGACAAGCTTTATAGCAAGTTATTTGGCCTTGAGCATCTTGCTTGCATATTAATACCATCTTATATCTCACAGGACAAGATGTAAGAGTGTCTAAAATTGGACCAAAGGCTTTTCTCTTATACAAAGAGGCATACTCCTCCTCAATAGCAGTTTTTTATTTTGATCAATCAGAGCGACGTATAGTCTCTTCGATAGTTTGAGGTTGGGGATTGTCTTCCTTACAAGAAAGGGCTTCTATAATCTTATATGCAAATGATTCATCTATTGTAATAGATGGTCTGTCCCAAATATCATCTGTAGCATAATACAGAATAGATAATTCTTTACTCAACTTGTTCTTATTCGTTCCAATTCCAAGATTGTTTTTCATAGGAATTGAAGGTACATTATGCATGGATATATCATCATGAATTGGTAGTCCCGTAAGATGAGTGACAATTTCTTGAGAAATAATACCAAGATTAGTCAATTTTATAGCTTTCTTCTTACATGGTTGCTTATCTGGTCTACGAGTTTTTTTAGTTGTTGTTGTTATAACTTGAGGTATTATAGTCAATGGCATTGCAATCTGAGCAGGTGCATTCTGAGCCTC